TTTCAGGTCACAATCTGTGACACTGCAGTCAACTAGTCAAGTAAAACCCTCTACAACTGCACAAGATTCATTACGTAGAGCAAGATCTGCAAATGTTCATGGGCGTGTGGGAAGTTCATTGGATTTTGCTTCTCCTGATGGCACTGAAAGGATATCAACTCCACAAAGAAGATCTGATGTAGAAGGGAGTTCTGATGAATGTGATAGTTTATCCAGAAGAAGTCCTCAGAGTTCAGTTTTTTCACCATGTTCTTCCAGTGGAATGGCTGATGCAGCTTTGGTCCCAAATGAAAATGGATTACAATATAGTTTAAATTCTCGGGCCAAAGGGAATTTTAATCTATCATCTCTTCCCAGTGTTCTGGTATGTGCAAGACTTTCATTTATCTTCTCAGAGTGTTTAAGTTTCACTCTCTTATATTTTTAAACTGACCAACCTGCTTTGTGCAGTGCCACACTTTTATATCTATACTATTTGAAAACAAAAGATTGATTCATTCTTGCTTGTAGGATGGAACCGGCAATACTCTGTATGGCCAACTTCAACAAGTAATGGCTGAGGCAACAAACTCAAGAAGAGAAGCTTTTGAAGAGGCAATGAGACGTGCAAAAGCAGAGAAAGATGCTCTTGAGGCTATACATGGGGTAAGTTCTCAGATTTGATTCTGTATCAAACATACACCCAGACTAATGGTTCCTTCATAAATTTTCTTCCTGTATTGGGAGATGTTCAGAAATTAATACCTGATGTTGTTATCTGGAAAAAATAAATCCTCCATAATTTTTTATTATAAAATATTCTTAATGTATTTGTAAAAGAACCAATCGAGATTAATTTACAGGTCAAAGCATCAGAAAATCTGTATGCACAGGAGGTAAAGCAAAGGAAAGAAATTGAGGAAGCATTAGCAAAAGAAAAAGAGGAACTTGGCAAGATAATGAACCTACGGGATGAGTTCAGGATAGAACTTCAAGCTGCATTGGATCAGAAATCATCACTGGAGAAACAAATTACGGAATCTGAAAAGGAGATTGAGGAGCTCGAAGAGAAGATACTCTCAGCTGTTGAACTTTTGCAGAATTACAAGAAAGAAAGAGAGGAGTTGCAGATGGATCGAGATAATGCACTCAAAGAGGCTGAAGAATTGCGGAAAAGTCGAGCTGAGTCCTCAGATACACATTTGCATCAGTTTTTCACTGAGTTCTCTTTCGCAGAGATTGAGGAAGCAACTCTCAACTTTGATCCCTCCTTGAAGATTGGGGAAGGGGGATATGGAAATATTTATAAGGGTATTCTGCGTCATACCACTGTGGCCATAAAGTTGTTGCATTCTAATAGCTTGCAAGGTCCATCGGAATTTCAACAAGAGGTATATTATTGTTAGTTTTTTGGTCAGCTATAAGTATTGATTTATTTAGTGTTCGGATGGATTTCATGCTACATGGAGTTGAACATGTTATTTGGTTATGTTTGTAGCATGCCTTACTTTTACATATCTCAAAGTTAATTGTCCGCCATCCTGGAACTGTATTTTGTGTCTTAGAATATCTATGTTTTATATATATATATATTTATATATATATATTTATATATATATATAGGGGGGTGTTCTCAAGCAATTCTGCATGCTAAATAAGCTTTAGTTTACCTATTTGTTAACAGTAGTACCATGTTGTGTGTGTGTAATATATATATATATACATAAATTATTTCTAATAAGAGGAGGTTGCCATATACAGAAAACTGTAAGAACAAAGAACTTACATTAAATTTCTCTGTACTTGGTTAGTATCAAGCATGTTGTATTTGGGTAATGGAAGAATATTTTTGTCTTGCAAGTGGCAAAGAACCACACATTTAGAAGTCAAACTGTATCTGCTTACAAGTTTTGGAGCATTGGATGACATCTGTTGGTTGTGTCTTAGGTCGATGTTTTGAGTAAGATGAGGCATCCAAACATGGTCACTCTCATTGGAGCCTGTCCTGAAGCTTGGACTCTTGTTTATGAATATCTTCCCAATGGAAGTCTTGAAGACCGACTTAGCTGCAGAGATAATTCCCCACCTTTATCATGGCAAACACGCATCCGTATTGCTACCGAGTTATGTTCTGTGCTCATCTTCGTTCATTCTAGTAAGCCCCATGGCATAGTGCATGGAGATTTGAAACCTGCAAACATTCTCCTTGACGCCAATTTTGTTACTAAGCTGAGTGACTTCGGAATCTGTCGTCTGCTAAGCAACAATACAACTGTCTGCTGTAAAACTTACCCTAAGGGAACTTTTGCGTACATGGATCCAGAGTTTCTTTCAACAGGAGAACTTACCCCAAAAGCTGATGTCTACTCATTTGGAGTCATTTTGCTCCGGTTGTTAACTGGAAGACAAGCCTTTGGTATAATAAAGGAAATGCAATATGCATTAGATAATGGAAATTTGATGCAACTCTTGGATCCTTTGGCCGGAGATTGGCCTTTTGTGCAAGCTGAGCAATTGGCTAACCTAGCTTTGAGGTGCTGTGAAATGAACCGGAAGTGTCGACCAGACCTTTCAACAGATGTGTGGAGGGTGCTTGAACCAATGAGGGCTTCATGTGGAGGCTCATCCTCATTTCAACTGGGTTCTGAAGAGCATTGCCAACCTCCTTCGTATTTTATCTGCCCCATTTTTCAGGTAAGCTAATCTATTCCTGCTGATCCGATCTTTCATATACTTCTTGGAGTGGCACAACTACAATGATCAAGTTTTCCGTCCTTTACCTTCATGGAACTATGTAAAAGAGAAAGAAATAAAATGATTTATAGGGACAACAGAAGACATCCAATATAAAATATATTATAATGTTTTAAAAGCAATTATTTTTGCAGTTAACCTTTACTAACAAGCATGTGGTGACTAGCTGCAAAGAATTAACTGGTTCTTCAATTAAATTTTATTCCTCCATTTTGCAACATTTCAGGAAGTAATGCGAGATCCTCATGTAGCAGCTGACGGTTTCACTTATGAAGCAGAGGCTGTGAGAGGCTGGCTTGATAGCGGTCACGATACTTCACCCATGACAAATGATAAGTTGGCACATTCCAATATAGTCCCTAACCTTGCTCTTCGCTCTGCTATTCAGGAGTGGCTGCAACAACATTAAAAATGCAATACTATCATATTGTTTATAATTGTTTCTTAAGTAGCTAAAAGCTAGAAAAGCAGCCGAATTAGTCTATTTGTATGTTTATATTCCTCTTTTTTAGGGTATATGGTGATTTGTTCTGCAGTCAATTGGTGAGGTAGTCAGCTTGTTAAGATGCAAATGCCCAAATGATGGAAAATGATGCTGGGGATTGGACATGGTCTATTACGTGCAAGGTTTTGTTTCTTCAACAATCGTACAGGAAATTGTTCGTATTCCACAGCTCAGATAAATAAAAGCTTGTGATGGTTTGTTGCTGTGCGTTCGTAGCTTATGTTAATGGGAATTGTAGTGAATGTTTACAAAAATAAGTCTTACGGATATTATATATATAATATTATATGATATATATATATATATATATATATATATATATGTGGAAGATGATACTCTTATTCTCGTATCTAAATTATGTATGTACATTGTACTAGAGTTATAATCACATAGTTTGTAGCTACATTTCTGCCACTGAATGCTTGTTCTTCAATATTAATCCTTTATCCTTTGGCACATTCCAGTCTCAGTAATGGTTGGTCTCACGCATTCGTAAAATTAAAATCATTCATGTCTCACCACCCATGTGAGTATCGAGATCCGTCTAACTCTCGCTATACTTTATATGATCTATCCAATATAATTTTTATAATATATGTAGAATTTATTATGAAAATATTTAGTTTATTACACGTGGAAAATTGGTGGATCAAGTCTGTGACTTAAAATTATTCTTATAATCTATATTTTGTTATTACTTCCATATGTGGATATGTGTTATAATATGTAGGCTCAACATTACATGTTTGAGTGAGTAAGAAAATAGCAGTGATTTTAGTGATTAAGAAATTATTATTATTTTTTGAGATTTTAGGATTCAAATATCATGTACGAAAGGATATGAGCGCTTCATGTTAAATAATTAAAATTATTAAATACATACTATCGTGCGTTGATCCTAAGCTAATAAAAAAAAGGAGTGAGTGAGTGAGAAGATAAAGTCGTAATTTATTTGAAGTAGATTAAGTGCCGAGTTTTTCTGGTATTATTTTCCGCCCAGTGTCCTTGTAGCCGAACCCTAATATCCAACGATCTAAAGACTATCCATGTAGAGACATTAAGTTCAAAACCAGAAAAGAAGGCATTGTATATATAATTTAAATTGTAGTTAATAAATTATTAATATAATGATATATATGTATATATATTATAATGTTTTTATTTTAATAATATATAATAAGTTTTTAATATATTTTTATCACATATATATTTAGACTATACAAATAATGTATCCTATTTTTTAACTTCATTTCTAAATATTTTTTGTCCACGTTGATTGTTGAACTTAAAATTTTTTAACTTAATTTTAGTTTTATAATATGACACATCGAGAGATTATTACGTGACATCACATTATATTATAAAAGGACTAAAATGTAAACAAAAATTGTAAAGTTCATAAACTGATATGTATCAAAACAAAGTTCATGGACTAAATTGAGAAATTTGTCAGTGGACTAAAATTGTTTTATCCGTTAATATATACTCCAATTTCCTCCAAGTTATGAAAGTGATTTCACTTTAATAAAAAGGGCAAAATGCACGCATTTAGACAGAAAGAAGATAAAAGAACCAAGGAATAATAATATGCTTCGTATTATTATATCCCATAAATAAAGAAGAAACGTTGTTTGGTTTGCGGAACCAAGCAGCAGCCAAGAACCATTTTGGAATTCAACAGTTTCCTTTTGATATTGATACGATAAAACAAACCACAAAATTATACTATAAAATGATTTTACAGTGACAAGTCACCTACATCAACTCCCAATAGTTATTAGGGGATCTCTTTCCTTCGTCCCGTATGAAATAGTCTCATTGACCCCGTATTGACTAGGAACTTGCCTTGAAGCTTTTGTTAGTATTTTCTTTAATAGTAGAAAGGAGGAGAGAAATGGGTTGCTTTATCTTTGGCTTTTAACCGAGTTCCATGTCTGCAATTTCAAAGCAGGTGAGGGAGTTAACAGAACAACTATGGCTACGTCTAGTGATGATACGATATACGTTGCAGTAGGAGAAGTTGAAGAAAGTGAGAACACTTTGTTATGGGTTTTACACAATCTTAATCCTCGAAAACTTTGCATTCTTCATGTTCATCAGCCTTCCAGAGTGATCTCATCCGGTAAGAACTCACTGTTGATTTCTAATCGTTTCTTGGAGATTTTTCTTTGCCATTTTTAATCTGTTTTTTTTTATTCTTATGGAGTGTACGGAGTTGATGAGGATTTGGCTGAAATCATGTTTGATCAGCGACAAATTAGGGGTCTAGAGGAAGTTGGAAAGGACATGATGAATCGGATCACGGATGAACACCTTCTTTTCTGTAGTCAAGCAGGGGTACTATTTCTTCTGTAAACCTATTTACTTTTATAATTTCTGGGTTTATAGGTTTTGAAATATTAAGTATGAAAATGGTTTCCCATTATCAATTCTGAACATTGAATTTTTGTGTTGTTGAATGCATTGGAAGATTCAAAAAAAAAAACTTCCCCTTTATCCCATAAGCAGTTCTTCAATATTGTTTAGGTCAGTGCCATAAGGCTACATATTCAGATGGATGATGTTGCAAAGGGGATTCTGGAACTGATTCGTAGGCACAATATCAAGAAGCTAGTGATGGGAGCCGCAGCTGATGAGCGCTTCTCAGAGTACAAATACTTCTATTATTGAATTGCTCACACTCTCTTTAAACATTAACCATCTTACTTGTTCTCTTCTCTCATCTGCTGAGATTGACCAGGGGAATGTGGCTGATGTCTGAGAAAGCACAATATCTGAACGAAAATGCGCCACTTTCTTGTCAAATTTGGTTCATTTGCAGGGAGCACCTTGTACATACAAGGTAATGCTCGATGATCGCCGGAATCCTAATTTTAATTTTTTTTTATCTTTTGAAACTTTTCAGATGCAGATTTTTAGCTAATGGGTCATGGGTGTAAGTTTCTCAGTCTTTAGTAAACTATGACAAATGGCATTGCACATTCCAACTGCTTCCGTTATATTGACTTCAAGGTATTTGGAGCAGGTTTGAAATCGGGCAATCATCAAATGCATTAAGTCCATCTGCTTCTAGTTATTTGACAAGCTCTAGTGAAGCTGCTGGTATTTTAGATTCGACTGTGTTCGACGAAAGAGATGAGAGTGAATGCGAGCTCGAGCCGTATGAAATGCTTTGCTCTAGAGAGGTTTGTGATTCATTTATCCAATGCCCCAATATCCTGGAATACTACAGTACAGTAGGAATTCATCTGCCATAAAAGCTACATGTTGAGAATGTATACTAATGTTTTCAGTAGTTATATATTGATCATCGTCGCTACCAATTTCCTATCACTATAGCTTAGTTTTGAACTGGATGTTGGGGAATGACGCATTTTCAAATTTGAACTGACTGTTGCTGATGTCTCTAATGGTTCATGGCTTTTTGGCAGGAAGGAAGTAGTAATGATCAACTATTTGATCAGCTTGAACAAGCGCTGCAGGAAGCTGAATCATCAAATCGAAAAGCATTTGAAGAGTCCGACAAGCGTGTGAAAGCTGAAATGAATGCCGCCCGGGCTATGCGCCAAGTAATGTCTTCTGCAATTCAGACCTTGGTTTCCCTCTTTTATGGAGTTTCAAATTCAGCCTTGTAATGGTTACTAATCCTGACCTCTTTTTTTTTTTGCAGGCAAAAACATTTGAAAGGTTGTACAATGAATGCAAGAGAGAAAAGGAGACAGCACTTACAAAACAGAAGGAGAGCATTGAAAAGATAAAGAGGCTGAGAGAAGAAGAACATTCAGTTGCCAGGGAGCAAAAGTCTATACTGGAGAGCCAAGTCACCAACTCAGATCGCAGGATGAAACAATTAGAAGATGAATTAGCATCAGCTATGGAGCAGTTGCAGGTTTCCCTGAAAGAACGAGACGAGTTGCAAATTGAGCTCCAAAATAGTCGTAAAATGATTGAAGAGCTTTTGAGAAAACAAGCAGAAGAGACCTTAAGCGCACATATGGACCAATTCAATCTGGACCGGTTGTCTGTATCAGAGATTAATGATGCAACTTTGCACCAGTTACAGATTGTCCAGAAAGAAAAAGATGAGTTGCAGGTCATGCTCGAAAATACTTGTAGGATAAACGAAGAGCTTTTAAGAAAACAATCCGAAGATACCTCAAGCTCTCACTTGCAGCAACACTTTATAGAGTTCTCTCTGTCGGAGATTGAGGAAGCAACTGAGGGCTTTTACCAATTGTATAAGATAGCAGAAGGAGCTCGGGGGAATGTATATTATAAATGTGTCCTTCGTCACACTGAAGTGGCTGTAAAGGTGCTTGGTCGAAGTAGCATTCAAGATCCCTTTGAACTCCAACAGCAGGTAAGGAACCGAACCTAAAGTCACATTCTTTTGGCATTTTAAATTTTTCTATGCTGTTGTTTCAGTTTGAAGGCCAACACTCGACTGCCGAGGGTACATTTTTTTAGAATCAAAGATGTGATAACCTGCAATAGAGTGAAATAGAGTATGCTGTCTTGTATTTCAGGTTGATGATTTGATTAAATGGAGGCATCCAAACCTAGTAACTATTATCGGAGCCTGCCCTGGGAGAAGGGCTTTAATATATGAATATGTTCCTAATGGAAGTCTTGAAGATCGTTTGAACTGCAGGAATGGCATGCCCCCGCTGTCATGGCAATCTCGGTTGCATATAGCTACTCAGCTTTGTTCTACTCTAATGTTTTTACATTCGGGTAAACTAATGCATGGCAACTTAAAACCTGGGAATATTCTTCTTGATGAAAACTTTGGTTGCAAACTTACCGACTTCGGAATTCATCGTGCACTTTCTCTTTTGAAAAACTCAAACAACACGACGGAATCAAGCAATGCTAATCCTTACCTTGATCCCGATTTTCGTGGTACAAGAAGAGTATCTCACAGTTTGGACTTATACCCTTTTGGCATTATAGTATTACAATTACTTAGTGGGAGGTTAGCTCAGGGTATAGCTGAGATCGCACAAAACGAGCTATTAAATGGTCCGAGTTCCTTCTTGGATTCTTCAGCTGGAAACTGGCCACACCAAGTTGCTCAGTTGACGCACTTGGCTATAAGATGCTGTGATGTAAACCGAAGCCGGAGACCTGATCTTGCATCAGATGTTTTCAAGGTACTTGAGACAATGAAACCTTCTGGAGTGTCGATATCACATGTTGCAGACTCTGATGAAGATAATCTCGAGCCTCCATCTTATTTCATTTGTCCCATTTTACAGGTTAGCTCCATTTTTTCCCTTGTTTTGAAAATTTCTCTTTTAGGTGGATTATATTTGAATCCAATGAATCACAGTTTTGTAATTCATATGATGATGTCGGGTTGCAGGGAGTTATGACTGATCCGTGTGTGGCAGCTGATGGTTATACTTACGAAGCATCGGCATTGCAGGATTGGCTGGCTGACCATGATACTTCCCCTATGACAAACCTCAGGCTTCCACATCTCGATCTTATCCCTAACTTTCCTCTTCGTTCTGCTATTCAGCAATGGCAGCAAAATCATTGAAACTGTTTCTTGTTCCTGGAACATGTTTGGCCATGTTGTCCTTGACCGCTTCTTCCATGTTTATAAAGGGTGTAATACTGTACGAGTCCTATATTCTGTTTGCATTTATATAGTGTCGAGTTCAGAAACCCAATATTTTGATAGCAAAGCAATATATCTGCAATTGTAAAACCGAAATCTAAGCTAAATTTTAACTTCACTTCTGATGTTGGAAATAGCGTATTGGAACGAAAACTTAAATCTAACCAATAATATTATGGTGTAATGATAGGTCGATGCGAAATTATGTCACTTGGAACGGTAAATTAGACAATATGATAGGGAAGCGGCAGCAGATAATTGAATGTTGTTCTTGTTGAAGAATCAAACTTAGAAAATTCTAGATACGATAAAAAAAAGAATAAGATGAATGGGGAAGGTGGCGGCAGCGGCGAAGGTTCTTTTTAGGTGCTAGAAACAAGGTAATAAACAAAATTAAAACAAGATAAACAAAATATAAAGAACTTAAAAATAAAGAATGATAATCAAGAAATCAAAAAGATCTCTCTTATGAAGGTGAACAACAAAAGTGATGATGGTGATGATGGATTTGAAGAAAATAGATTGATAATTGTCCTACGAACCCTCCTAATCGCAATTAACTAGCCCTCCTAGTCGTAATGAAAAGTTAAACTAGAGTGTGAATATCTAACTCTCAAGAACTCATGTTGTATTGAAAATAATAAAACTTCATGATTACAATGGTAGGAGGAGCATCCTTTATATAAGGAAAATGAGTCATTATCCTAACATGACTAAAGAATAATAAAATAATAACTGAAGTCTATCCTAATCCAAGTGATGTGGGCTGCATCAATATGTGCCTTTGATGTAGTGTTTGATCCGATGGTGGTGATGGAAACTAAGAATTTGAATGCATTACTTGTTCCTCAACTGTTGGATGTGATGAATGATCCAGATTGATCTTCTAGAAGGTGGTGGTTTGGAGAATAAGATGGGGCTACTAGGGTTTTGTCAATACAAGCAAATTACCTTTATAACCTTGATTTAAACTATTCCTAATATGAAAATATTGAAAATTCGTATTAATCCCGTATAGGAATTCTTGCATGTTTTGTCTTCACTAGAATGGGCATCTCTTGAGTTCCCAGTATTGGATTGATGCAATTCAAGAACCGTTGGAAAGCTAAGAGACAGCCGGTCATATCTCCAGAAGACATGTTGATCGAATAAGATTAGGATCCCATTCAAAAAGTAGTTGCAAGTTTGTTGGTCTGTTATTCTTCTTTTCCAAGGCTTATTCGTGTGCATCAATTGGAAGTAATAGTCTATCTTCTTTTGATGTGAGTCTTGTGATGCATGTATCATCCCCTATTTTTAAAAGGATTAAACCTCTAATCTAAAACACCAAAGAGAGGGACATTAGGAATTTTAAAGCATTCATTCATATTATACTTACCGAATATATGTGCTTTGAATTTTCGAGATTTTGTTCTTTTAAGAGGTTCGAGTAGAAACATTAGTCCAAAGAAAAAAACGTTGTCATCATTGTGAACTGGTTCATGTATCACAATACAAATCGTGAACTACTCGAATTTGACTTAATCAAAGTTCAGTTAACACTTAAATTGAATGAACTCGATTTGAGCTCAAACTTAAGTTATTAACTAACCGAAACAAGCTACTTAATATCCAATTCAAAAAACTCGCAAGCAATTTGAAAAAAATAATATATCAAATTTTAATTCTCAAGTAAATTATTAATAATATCAATATTTATATGTTGTTTTTATTTAAAAAAAATATAATATAAGATTTTCATGTACTTAAGATTCATGTTCGAACTTGAATTCGAGCTTGAACTTCAAAGAACTAAGTTTGAGAATGTTTAGAGTTCAAATTTTTTCTAAACTCGAATGGAACTTCAAGTATTGAAGTTAAGTTAAACATGAAAATTTTAAGCTCACGAGCTTTCGAGTCAAGCTCAGCTTTAAAATTTTCGAGTCAAGTCGAGCTCGAATCATTTACAGCCCTACTCGGTACATTCACGCAAAATATCACTCAAAACGGTGGTCTTTACGCAGGTTTTATGGTAATCTCAAACTAATCAATTACTCTCTAATCATCTAATCAGAGGGTTACACAAATTAACTGTAAATTTCTACATAATTAGCTGAATTGGATTAAAAGCTCTCTGTTACAGGTCAATTTCTACAGGTGTTTGCAATACTGCAAATATTGCATGCTTCTCTCTAGAACCTACAAGGGTAAAAGCTTTTCAGCTGATTTATGTACTAATAGCCAAAACTGGCATTCAGTTTGAGGTACTTATTTTTTCATAGTTTATTACAATTATTCTTTTTGTTGTAAGGGATGAAGTTTCATATGCGGGCAAGGTCTTTCCGGTTCTCCTCTTGTCCACAGAGTTTCAAGATCACCTCTCTTCTTTCCCAATGTAATAAAGGTGCCTGCAACCAAGCAATAGATACATGGTAAGAGACGATGAAAAAGTTAACATTTTGTCGGGGTTTACGAGCCCGGAAATATATGTTAGAGCATCCAAACCCGTTCTTAATCTCACAACCACTTACCAAGCGTGAAAGGAACGATGTAAAGCAAAGCAGGTTGCCCATGTCCATCCATCAGGTTCAAGGCGATATAGGTGACCAGAAGACCTGTTGAGTGAATTTAAGGAATAGAGCATTAATGACCCAATGGTCTTTGCATTGCAAGACAGATAGTAAAAGGAAACTGCAAAATCTGAGGAACATCATTTTCGTGCTCTTCCGATTACAGGAGTAGTAAGTAAGCTCAGAAGGTTAGGCTCAAGCAATATTTTTCTCTGTTAACAGTCATTAGAGGCTAAGTAAGATTAAAACGAAATGAATTCAAGCTTGGCTTGGTTCCATCACAGTCCCATACATATCAACAGGATGGCTCAGCAAATTTAGAATTATTCATACCTACACCATAGGCAGTCATTGCCCGTACAAAGTATCCCGATCGAAGATTCTTATTTGCTAGCCAATCATATCTGCAAAATTCATCAGTAGTGTCAGTTGATAAGCAGACTAAACATCAGAAACTGAACACTTTGTTTTGAGCAAACCTAGTTGCTGAAACATTTGAATGAAGATAAGAGTACTATGAAAACAAACAAAAGAAACTTTTTTTGGTCGAGAGCTGGTAGCCACGAGGCTCCAATGTTCATACCTTCGCGAAAATGCCACAACAAGGCCAGGTAAGATTATGTCTCCAAATCCAATAACACTGTATCCACCCCAAGGATCAAACATCCGTGGAATTTTTAGTAGCATCGGTATGCCATCCTCTCCACTCTTATCACCACGAGCTACCTATATAAAAGAAAAATAATGAAATAATTGTCATTCCACAGGTCTACAGAAAGAATACCAACCATTATTGTTATGACTTATGACTACTTACAACTATCATTACACTCTCATGAAACCACCATTTGGAAACAAATACCCAGAAGATGTCATACAAGAAAGCACAACCCAGAAGAACTGTTCCAACCTGATTCAATCGAAAAACAGAAAAGAGCATCAAAAGGAGCTTTCAACACATTTCAATTGTTCTCAAATGTATACCAACTACATGCCTACGTATCATGTGTAGAGAAATATGTAGAATATAAGAACCATATAATAGCAAAACATGCATGTCTCTCTAAGCAGTAGGCAGAAAAAGCCAAATAGATGAAGGTGCTAACCTTGAGATTTGGTACACGAACAATCTGAAGGACAGTGATTATTAGTGCAATCCCCTGATTGAAAGCAAAAAAAAGGAGGTTTAAATTTCATCAGTTCACAAAAAAGAGTGTTAATTAAACACGGCTCCAATACAAGCATATTAACTTTCAATAACAAGAGATGTCACCACAAGCAAGTGGAGACATCAGATACAATACAATTCATCACCTGATCAGTATCTAAGGGAAGTACTAATAACGACACATGAAGATATGATACAAAAAAAATGGTCTTACAAGAATATCTTGTCCTATCCAGGCAAATGAAATACGGCGATACACTGCCCAAACAACAGTAAAAGCTATGCAGAAGGGGCAAACAGCCAGTGATAGATGTGAAACAGCTCCAAAGAAGGGTACTTTAATAAATGATTCAGCAAAGCGTCGAAACCACCTGAAACTACATGCATATTTAGCTGTCAATTTCATATGATTTGTAACTTGATCATTAAAATGTAGAAAGTAAAGGTATGTATTCTGGGGAGCAGTGTTGCTCTTAGAACATTGTAATAGAGATTTAGTAGCAGACTTGTTCCATATATTGAGACTTTGGTATTCTTGATGTAAAAATGGAAAGGCAATGGGGAAGGAATATGCATACCACGCTAAAAATGCCACCAAGCACGTTTGTAAGCCCTGGAAGCATAAAGGACATCAAGGATCAGCATTCATCTCAAAAGGACCTCCCCTAACCCCAAACCCGTGCCCTTTCTATCAAGCCTTATCACAAGAGAATGTCGGAAAAATGTAACATGGAATACACATCACAGTATTTACCAAAGAAATTATGAAACAGAGACAAAAGCCGGTTCTCAATAAGTTGAGTTTGAACAAAAAAAAGGAACAAGTAGTCCTTGATTGCAGCTTCCAGTAAACAGATTCAAGATATTCATGTTGAAATTCCCCCCCCCCAAAGATGTGCATGCATCTATGGATTTTTCAGAAAAGTCCTGAGACATATAGATGATGGTGCGCAGCGTGTACAAGATGTAAGTGTGAAATAACATTGCAGCTTTCATGAAATGGCTTCATAATTCATAACCATCAGTCAGATTTAGTGACATTGCAGATGATGCAAAATCGAGTTTTGGTTAAAATTTACAAAGATGAACACATCAAAAACAGGAATAAGAGAAGTCTATAAACAGAAGGAAAGAAGACCAGCAGCAATAGTAAAATCACAAAACTCCCAAAAAAATTGTTGAAAACTGTAGAAGATAACATGAAATAGCTCAGTAATAACTTGTGAACTACCAATAAAAAAAATGAAAGAAATAAGCCACCTGGAACTAAGCATACAAA